GTGGTGGTGTTGCTTTCCCTCCTGGCGCCGCCGGATTCCGCGTTGGCGGCGCAAACTCCAGCTCCATGCCCGGCGCTGACTCGCAGCCGTAGTGGTGCCTTGCCTGCTCCAGCGTATTCCGGGAATTCACAACGTGGACACTGCTCCTCCCACGCACACCCTCCTCCCGCTTCACCAGCGCCTGCTCCTCCATGTCCGCCACAATGAAGCCGAGGGCGTGCGCCATCTCGTGCACAGCCACGCGGATGTGCTGCGACGTGTTCTCGATGTGGCGCGGGTTGTAGTTGATGACGCCAACAACAGGACGCCCTCGCGGGCCCAACGTCGCGCACGGCATCGCCCACGCAAAGGTCGGCTTGAACGTCGGAACAGCAGTCGCGTACAGCACCATGTCCGCATCGGGCACCCCATCCGTGTGGTGCTCCTCCGGCACTGGAAACTTCCCGCAAACACTGCCCTCACGGAACCTCGGCACGACCAGCGGGCCATCCAGCGGCCGCACCAGCAGACGCTCGCTGTGCATCTTCGCCGCCTCGGAAAGAATCACGTTCTCGAGAATGTCCACCTTCTCCTCCGTCAGAATGTCCTCCTCCTGGCAGACCATCTCCTTGCCAAAAAACATGTTTATATGCTCCCCGGCCCTGGTGCAGAATCCCCCCAACCCCTCCAGGTCATCCGCAAACACCTTGATTCGGAGGGGCGCCCAGTCACTGCCCACGGACACAGTGACAGTACTGGCCGGCTCCTCCCCGCCCGTCACTTCGCCAACGTTCCGTGGCAGGCGATCAAACACGCAATGGTGCGGCACCGCAATGACGAGGCCGCCACCGGTGCACAGCAACAGGAGCAGCGCGCAGCAAAGCTGGCGAAGCATTGTGAGTAGCTTGTTTCTAGCGTTCAAGACTATTCCTGCATGCACAGCGAAAGTACGCACAAGACAACAATAGAGAATAACAGGAAAAATAAAATGTTATCAACACAAGCAGGCACGCGCAGGGCAAAAGCAGCAGTCGAGCACGACGCAAATCCGTCGCGGTCCTCTTTGCACTCCACAGCTCTGTACCGCACAGTCATTTTGCACCCAGTTTTTGGCACACACCCGTCCAAATGCCGCGGGATATCAATGGCTTTCGGTCGCACTGGCGTGTGGTCCGCCTCCGCCAGCAGGAGTGTGTCGCCCTCCGCCACTCGGCAAGACTCCCCTCCGAAGGCTGCGCAATGGTAAAAAAATGGGGGTGGCAATGCCATCAGAGACGGGTACAGAGTGCGCCTCACGCAAACGAGTCAGACGCTTTGTTAGGATAAAGACGATCGGGACGCATCACATGCACGGCAGACCCCCATAGGAAACAAGGGGGCAAACAGTGGCCAGCCACAGCCCGGGGAAGCACACTCCGGGACGACAGAGGAGGCGAGGTGGTGCACCGTGGCACAGAGAGACAGAGAGGGAGAAGGCGGCGGAGAGGGCCGTGGAGAGAGGGGGCGCGTCAGTCCCGTGCCTGTTGTAGGTAGCTGGGTGCACGGAGGTGTAACTCATCGTCACGGTCATACAAATGCCTCGATTGATCGCATCATGAAGTCGTCAGTCGCCCTGCGCGTTCCACGCCGTCGGTGCTGCTCTTGCGGGCCCGATTGAGACAGTCACGGCACAGAAATGATGATATACGGCCGCCGCCTCACCCACGGAGCACGCTCCACTCACGCACGCACAGCGCTCCTTCCCCTCCGCGCAATGGCCGTGGGATCTGGGGCAGCACTCACACCGCAGAGGTGGTGGTGGCAGTGGGGTAATAAAAAACGAACGGCCGGTCCATCCCGCGAGAGGGCAGCCGAGCAAAACATCCTAAGCAACAAGAGAGGCAACAAAAAGAAGAAACAGGCAATCGGGCTAGACCCGCCTCCACTCCAAAAACACAACACACCTACCGCCCCAGAGCGCTGAAACATCCCCAGTGAGCCCAGCAAGAAGGAAGTAAAACACCCGCACATCCACTCGGTGCCCGTCCACAAAAGAGAAAAAAAGAAAAACCTATTATCAGGCGCCTCCGCCATCACCGAAAAAAGACTTCTTTCAAAACCCTCGGCGCGTTTTCACGGGATGTCGCAGTGCGCAATAATAATAGTAAAAGAAAAATATTGGGAAATGGGGAAGAAGTCAGCTCCCTGCGCTGTCGCTCCGCCAACACGCCTCCGAACACACAGATGCACCACAGCCAGAGGGGATGCACGACTTCAGCACCGGTCATTTCCAAAGCAAACGTCCTACACACACCTTACACAATGTCCTCCGCCGGGCGGTGAGGCCAATGAGAAGTCACAGGCACTCTTGTAGCCGGGAGAGGGCGAAAAGACTTTGGCTCACCGCGGCAGAAAACAAAGCAATAAAAAACATAATATTATAAAAAAAAAAAACAAGAAAAAAAAAAAACGAAAAAAAAAAAAAAACAGGAAAAAAACAGAAAAAAGAAGGAAAGAAAATGTCTGAGCTCCTATAGCAAAAGGACTCCAAGAGAGGCCCATGGAGCAGGGGAGGTGCGGTGTCGGCAACAGGTACGGGTCAGGGTGCGACAATCACCGTGCCGATCACAATGAGGAGGAGAAGAAGCGGCGCAGAAGTGACCGCCAGAGCGCTGCCATCGTTATTTCTGATCATCGCAAGGTGTTTCGGGTGGCTTTCCACGTCGGTGCTGCTCGCATCACTGTGCTTCAACATGGTGAGGCAGACATCGCTGAACAAGGGGCATCTTATGCTGCCCGCCGTGAATGGCGCCGGGGGCGTCAGCGTCTGACCCGGTGCACAGGGATGCCACTCCTCGCTGCCCCTGTACCGCACACTTAGCGTGCCCTCACCACACCTCAACTGCACGCACACGTCACCAACAACCGTACTGCCCATCCGGAGGTTCTCCCCAGTCAAGCAGCGCGAGGACGGGCCAACAACGCTCCCAGGCATGATGGCCTCGTCGCCATCCATGCACCCAGTGCCATTCATTGGCGCGATGAAGGGGCAGTACTCCATCATGGCCCCTCGCCTGGAGCCCTGCTTGGTGGCGAAGTACTGGAACTCCGGTGGGATGTTATCGTCCTGGTAAATTGCGCAGGTCCCCAGCGACTGGCGGTCAGACGTGCACCGCAGAGTGGCGTCGCTCGAGTCGGTGCAGAACATATCAGGGTACAGCGTGGCACCGTCCGTCACGCACTTGTCGGTCAGCAGCGCGCAGCCGGCTCCGCTGCCCCAGCTCATCGGCTCCGCCATCTCGAAGTTTGCCTTGTAGTAGCCGAGGTCGGTGAACAGCGCCATCGTGATCGCGGTGTAGTAGCCGGAAACAACGAAGCTCGCCATCAGCTCATCCTTCGCGTTCCGCCGCCCCCAGTGAGACATCAGGCCAAGCCACGAAGGCGGCCTCCACTGCTTCTCCACCACCGTGAGCGTGGTGCCCGTTGAGAGGGTTCCGTCCGCCGCTGCCTGCGTTGATGCGGAAATATGTTGGGCCGCACGCAGCTTGAGAGTTTGCGCGCTTCCTGCTCCTGCGCCTGGCCTCGCTGGTTGCCTACCAGCTCCTCCTGCGCCTGGCCTACCCCTTGGCCCAGCAGCTCCTCCGCCTGGCAGGCCATATCCTCTTCCTCCTCCTGGTAGGTACATTGGTGGACCATCGGTAAGCCCTGATCTGGATCCGGGATGGGGACGTTTGGGCCTCTCTCCTTCTGCCCTTCGTTCCGCATCTGTGACATGCCGAATTACATTTCTTCTTCCTGAAGCGGCTGTTGCTTCCGTTGAAGACCGTCCTTCCGAACGCAAACCATTTCCTTGTAAGTTATTCGTGCCCCCTGAAGGCAAGCTCGCCGCTTGTGGTTGTGGTTGTGGTTTTGATGCTTGTGGTGGTTGCCCCGGTCCCTGTAGTGCCGCTGAACCCGGTGATGGCGCCGCCGGTGCTGATTGCGCAGATTGTGTTGGTGGTGTTCCTGCTGAAGGTGCTGTTTCTGATGATGATGGCTTCGGTGATACTTTTGCTGGTGCTCCTGGTGCTGGTGGTGGTGGTGGTGTTGCTTTCCCTCCTGGCGCCGCCGGATTCCGCATTGGCGGCGCAAACTCCAGCTCCATGCCCGGCGCTGACTCGCAGCCGTAGTGGTGCCTTGCCTGCTCCAGCGTATTGCGGGAATTCACAACGTGGACACTGCTCCTCCCACGCACACCCACCTCCCGCTTCACCAGCGCCTGCTCCTCCATGTCCGCCACAATGAAGCCGAGGGCGTGCGCCATCTCGTGCACAGCCACGCGGATGTGCTGCGACGTGTTCTCGATGTGGCGCGGGTTGTAGTTGATGACGCCAACAACAGGACGCCCTCGCGGGCCCAACGTCGCGCACGGCATCGCCCACGCAAAGGTCGGCTTGAACGTCGGAACAGCAGTCGCGTACAGCACCATGTCCGCATCGGGCACCCCATCCGTGTGGTGCTCCTCCGGCACTGGAAACTTCCCGCAAACACTGCCCTCACGGAACCTCGGCACGACCAGCGGGCCATCCAGCGGCCGCACCAGCAGACGCTCGCTGTGCATCTTCGCCGCCTCGGAAAGAATCACGTTCTCGAGAATGTCCACCTTCTCCTCCGTCAGAATGTCCTCCTCCTGGCAGACCATCTCCTTGCCAAAAAACATGTTTATATGCTCCCCGGCCCTGGTGCAGAATCCCCCCAACCCCTCCAGGTCATCCGCAAACACCTTGATTCGGAGGGGCGCCCAGTCACTGCCCACGGACACAGTGACAGGACTGGCCGGCTCCTCCCCGCCCGTCACTTCGCCAACGTTCCGTGGCAGGCGATCAAACACGCAATGGTGCGGCACCGCAATGACGAGGCCGCCACCGGTGCACAGCAACAGGAGCAGCGCGCAGCAAAGCTGGCGGAGCATTGTGAGTAGCTTGTTTCTAGCGTTCAAGACTATTCCTGCATGCACAGCGAAAGTACGCACAAGACAACAATAGAGAATAACAGGAAAAATAAAATGTTATCAACACAAGCAGGCACGCGCAGGGCAAAAGCAGCAGTCGAGCACGACGCAAATCCGTCGCGGTCCTCTTTGCACTCCACAGCTCTGTACCGCACAGTCATTTTGCACCCAGTTTTTGGCACACACCCGTCCAAATGCCGCGGGATATCAATGGCTTTCGGTCGCACTGGCGTGTGGTCCGCCTCCGCCAGCAGGAGTGTGTCGCCCTCCGCAACTCGGCAAGACTCCCCTCCGAAGGCTGCGCAATGGTAAAAAAATGGGGGTGGCAATGCCATCAGAGACGGGTACAGAGTGCGCCTCACGTAAACGAGTCAGACGCCTTGTTAGGATAAAGACGATCGGGACGCATCACATGCACGGCAGACCCCCATGGGAAACAAGGGGGCAAACAGTGGCCAGCCACAGCCCGGGGAAGCACACTCCGGCACGACAGAGGAGGCGAGGTGGTGCACCGTGGCAAAGAGAGACAGAGAGAGAGAAAGCGGCGGAGAGGGCCGTGGAGAGAGGGGGCGCGTCAGTCCCGTGCCTGTTGTAGGTAGCTGGGTGCACGGAGGTGTAACTCATCGTCACGGTCATACAAATGCCTCGATTGATCGCATCATGAAGTCGTCAGTCGCCCTGCGCGTTCCACGCCGTCGGTGCTGCTCTTGCGGGCCCGATTGAGACAGTCACGGCACAGAAATGATGATATACGGCCGCCGCCTCACCCACGGAGCACGCTCCACTCACGCACGCACAGCGCTCCTTCCCCTCCGCGCAATGGCCGTGGGATCTGGGGCAGCACTCACACCGCAGAGGTGGTGGTGGCAGTAAGGTGATAAAGCAGTGCTTTGGTGAATGGCATTCACAATAACAAAAGAAAATGATTAGGACAAAATGAAATGTAACAGAACGTCTTTTCGATTTATAGTAGATAAGAACTCAATGTAGCATTTAGCAGAGAAATCCAAGGTGGTGCCTCAAAGCGTCATTGAGACATTGTACCACGCAAAGTGTGGTGTGCTTTTCTCAGTGATTCATGTAGAATGCGTTATCAGGGAGAATTATGGCAAACAATTCTTCTTTTTGTTCGCGTTACTTACCTCTCGTGTAAATTTGTTTTTAATAAATGGACCATGGGGCTTTTTCGATTGTTGTTTTTTCGCTGTGACGATCGGCAGTCCGGTACGTGTCGTACGCAATTATGCCGAGTTATTCAGTCTTAACAGTACTCCGCTTTTTGATTTGGTGCTGCGATGGAAGATTCAGGAAAGATTCCTTCTGCCTGATTTTGCGTTTGCCTGAAGTATGAGTGCAACACCGAGGCGTTTTTTCTCTTTGCCAGTTTCGCGTTCCACAGAAGCTGCGCAAATGTGTCTCCGATCCTTTCCTGAGGTGTGTGTGTGTGTGTGTCTCCTCCTCTGCCTCGAGTTTCCGAGAAGAACAGAGAATGACCATGTATGAGGAGGCAATGTGAACGGACTTCACCCCAAGGGCCAATAAGATCACGATGAAGAGCCCCAATGGGCAAAGTCAAGTGGCAGAAAAGACGAGAAATGGCCTCATGTCAAATCCCTCTTTGGGAAGAGCAACGATGAGTGGGAGCCTCGGCAGCAGCAGTGTTTTGGTAGAAAACATGGTACGCTTGTGGCTAAGAGTTCTGCGGGGCAGCTACAAAGGGCAGAAGCGAGTGCATATGCATGAGAAAAACAAACAAGGCGGAATTGGAAGAACGTGGAATGAAAGAAATAATTTTTTTTTTTTATTGCGAGTGAGGTATGAGGGTTTTCCACAGAGTTGTTCAAGTTTTCTTCACACATTTCTTGTTTGTTTGCGACATGTTTACAACAACATATATATATATATATATTTCATCATCGGCGCAGCAACGTCATTCATGAAATATTTGGAAAACTTCTTGCAACTTCCTCGCCACGCCATCCTCTGAGCTGGAGCCCACCACCTCCAAATGTGGCAACGACTCCTTTAACCGTGACTGCCCGTTGTCCATGATGCACCCCTTCGCCACAGAGCAGAGCATATCCCCGTCGTTCATGCTGTCACCAAAGGCAATGGCTTCTCGTTCGGGGTCAAAGTTTAAAATCCTGCCAATTTCCCTGAGCGCCGCGGCCTTGGAGACCTCCGCAGCCATGACATCCAAGCAAATTTCTGACGACATCACAGCTGTGGCACGTCCATGAAATATTTCTTTAATTTCAGCTTCGTACTGGTGCAAGATGTCTCTGTCGTAGCAACGAAAACACACTTTGCCAACGCCAGTGGTGGGAAATTCCTTAAGATCTGGATGCAACTCGGGCACCACACCAAACATTGCCAGTGACTCCTCATCACTCATGATGGTACGATTTATCCACCACTTCTCCGTTTGGTACGCCGAAACAGAAATAACTTTCCGCGGATCGTCGCCGTGATCACGAATGCCAAAGCGTTCGTAGAGAACCCTGACAACATCGCTGTCCAAATCGCGCAAGAAAATCAAATCCCCGTTCGGATTATGTACTCTTGCCCCATTGGAGGAAATGATATAAAAGCCGTCGTACCCGGTGGTCGGAGAGTCAGGTACACCCCTGGCCGTACTTCTCCTCTTGTAATGCTCAAGCAGGTCACGTCTTGTGGCATGAACGCAGGAGTGGTGTCGGCCTGTCGCGAAGATGATATGGACCCCACGCGTGGAAAGCTCATACAGTGTGTCCTTCGTCCGCTCGGTGAGGCGGTGCTTGGGGTCGAGGATCGTGCCGTCCATGTCCGTCGCCACGACAAGGAGGTTCCCGCCGGAAAATTTGCGTCGGCACTCGTTGCCGGATGATCTTATCTTATCGCACTCTGCCTGCATGGAGGTGGTCGGCATTAATGCGATGGCTTTCTTTCTCCCTTTCTTTTTGTGCTTGTTTGTGTGGCGAATTCACTTTTCACTCTCCGCCTCACAAGTGAGAGGAACGCCGATGCACGCAACAGGAGGAGGAGAAAACAAAAATAAATGTGCCATGCGCATAAACACAGAGAGAGAGAGAGTGTGTGTGTGTGACAGAAAGACACGGGGGAGGGGGAGGGAGCAGAGGAGTGCCGCCTCCCCACGACAGCAGCGCACCACCGCAGCCGCCTCTCAGGTCTCGCCTCACACACAGTCACACACACACAAAAAAATAAAAATAAATAAACAGAAATAATAAAGAACGAAAGACGAAACAAAACCCTGCAGGAAGCGGCGTGCACGCAGCTTCGCAGTAATGGGTACGTTGAACAAAACATCTCTTTCCCTTCTCCCCCATCCCCACCGCCGCGGCACAATTCTTCTCTACAGACGTTGAAGAAGCCGTAATATACTTTTTTTACTCGTTGAAAATGGCACCCTCGTTAGCGTTTCCTTCTTCTATGCATTGCCCCTTGTGGTTCTGACGGAAGTACAAAAACAGGGAAGGGGGAAAAAGGAAATGGAGCCCGTCTGTTTCCCACAAAACTAATTGAGTTCTCCCACAATATCTTTCCTCACACCACAGCGGGCAAAAAAATCAAAAAAAAAAAGTAAAACCGTAATTATTCCTATTAGCAATTGGCTGCTCTCTTGATAAGAAAATGTCAGCAGTAGCCGTTGTATATGTGTAAATATGCACTGCAGAGAATCGCGTAGTGTAGATTGTGAAACGGGTGCCACGCATGTAAACAGGACATCTTTTCCGGCAGGTGATTCGTTCAACTACTCTTTTATTCGGGTTGCGACACAATCAAACATTACTTTCTTCTAATAATAGACACAGAAAAAAGAGCACGCACGTCATGCGATGATGGGGCTCTTATTAGGCGTGGGGGCGCATAGCATGGACGGCGGTGGGTAAATAACATGCATTAAATTATTCCACATAAATTTGGTTCGAAATAAAGTGGCAAATTTTGACTGCGTCCGCTGTGACTCACGACGCGTAGTGGACGTTAACACTAGAAACACGTAAAACACAGCCAGGCCCCCAACTATGAGCACAACGAGAAGTAACGTGACAAAGAGCAGTATCAATACGAGGGACCTGAAAGTATCCTCCTCATGTGACTCCTGCGCGACCAAGGGATGCACCGTCCGATTAGGAGAACTGTGCATAGCCTCCCGTCGTATCTGAGCAGCCGCAAAGGTTCCAGTAAGCAAGGAGCGAAATATCCAAAGGAGACCCATGGCAGCCGCACTACTCACTGTCAAAAGATACAACAAGAACCAACGCAGACTCCTCCGACCAACACATCCACCAATGACGCCGCAGTGATGATCATGCTCCTGCACGCAGACGTTGCATTGATAGCAATGTGAGGTGCGTGGGGGGCGCCGCAGACCACAGACACGACAGAGCACCAAGTCACGGACGCCATCAAGTGGATCCGCTTCACCGTGACGAAGTCGTGGATACACGCCTGGATCAGTGCACGTCACCAAGAACGAGGAAACAAAAGCCGTGGAAAGGAATACAAACAAGATAAAGAGCTCAAACACTCCTAGTTCCTTCCACAGGGTGAAGAGCACACCAAATACAAGTATTAGGGTCAACAACGTGGGAACGCAGAATATGACGGCATCAGGGCTCCAAAGACAGGTAAAACCACAACATTTAACCCTTGTCATTTTACCTAGCGCTAAATTCGTGTCGTTGTATCTATTCTTTTCAGGCTCCACTAGCACTTCCACGGACTCCATTCGTGTCAGTTCCACCTAATCACTAAATACAAAGAAACACAGAGGCAAGAAAAAAAAATACGTGTGGAATAAAGGATGATATCACTGTACATACATGAGCAATCCTCTTGTCAGGCGGGACTTCACAACTCCGCCTCTCTCTCCTCGCCCAATAAAGATGCAAGAGGAGGGGCGGCTGGCTGCAGCACCGGGTATCTGTACTGTTGGATCTAAATGCAACAAAAAACCTCTTCTCCATCACAACAGGCCTCCTCATTTATTATTATTTTTTTTTTTTCCCTCTTCTTCTCCGTAAAACCTTTGCTATCATCATGTTTCACTTCCTGAGTTTCCTCATATTTTCTCCTCCAGGTGAATTGTTTGGCTCAGCATGTCAGCACGTGAAAACGCTCTTCGCTTTCCTTCACTCGAGAAATCCCTGCTGGAGCATCCGTTCCCTTCACGGCGGGAGGGGAAAAAACAAAAAAAACAAACAAACAAAAGAAGGCAAAGGAGAAAGTGAGAAATAAATCACAAAAAAGCAAACAAACAAACAAACAAAAAACAGATAGAAAAAATATAAGAAAGAAAAAAAAAGTGGACGGACCTCGTGCTGCTTTCTACCCTTTGCTCTTGTGTATCTATAAAATGCCTTGAATGAGGTCAGTGGCCGCTGTGTGGCCCTACACCGCCTTCGCGTAGGCCTCTTCGCGTGAAGCGTTATATTTGGCAACAGCCTTTGTGCCCTCGCTCATTGCATGCTTGGCGAGTTCTGGCGGCAGAAGCAGACGAGCAGATGTTTGAATTTCACGTGCCGTCAGTGTCTTCACGTTGTTTATGCATGCCACATGAACTGCTTCGCTCTGAATCTTGCTGTACATGTCCTCAATAAAGGACGAAAGCACACGCACGGCCGCCTTGGAAAGCGTCCCACGCTTGTACACTTGACGCAAGGTCCTGTGGATGTACAGATCCCACCGCCGCTGCTTTTTCCCTCGGCGAGCGCCCCCCTTCTTCTTACCGCCCGAAGCCTTCCGCGTGGCGCTTGCAGGTCGCTTTCCTTTGCCTTTCCCGCCCATGGGAAGAGGCCGCTTCCCTCCCTTTGTTGGCGGCATGTGTCCTTTGGTTCTTTTCTTGATTCCCTTTTCCTTTTCCTTCTTCTTCTATTATTATTATTGTTTCCCTTCGCCTTTCGTGTTGCCTCTTCACTGCCGCAGCAGGCAAAAACAAACAAACAGCAACAAAACAGGCGAATAAACAAAGGCGGGAGACACACAAATAAAGGCAGACAAAATAATAAAAACAAAAGGGGTCGAGGTAAAATAAGAGGCATCGAGAGAAAACAAAACAACGATTCACAAAAGACACACACACAAAAAAAAAAAAAAGGAAAAAAAAAACCACCACAAAGAAATGAAAGGCAACAACGACGCCGCATCGCAAACTCGAAAATCCCCTCCCCAAAGAAAAGAAAATCATGGGCGAATACCACAACCGAAAGGCGAGTTAGAGTTTAGTGGTGGTTTAGGGAGGGGGCAGACAAAAAACGGGCACCCACTCGTTTTTGATGTTTCAAATCATCACAAAAAAAAAAAAAAAAAAATCAACGCCGGCGGGCCCACACTTCAACAACAACAACAACAAAAAAAAGAAGAGGCCCTCCATGATCCCAACACCAACGACAACTTCAGAAGAAGGAGGAGGAGGGGAAAATTAAAAAACAACAACCAAAAACCAAAATAATAATAAACCACAATAATAAAAGAGAAGTCAGGGGGAAATTTCTCCTGAAAACCCAAAAACAACAACCAAAAAAGAAAATATAAAAAATAAAGCATTGCTCGTACTCCGCAGGGTAAAAAAAAAAAAAAAAAAAATTGGCCATTCTCCCCAACTCCTTTTTTTTCTCTCTCTCGCTCCCTCCCTTTTGATTCCCTCACACGCAACGGGCAAAAGTACAACTCCCACATTTTCCCCTCTCTTCCTCTGTATGTATTTATATAAATTGATATTCTTTCAAATTTATTCAATTATCACCTCTTCTTCAAGAAATTATATATATATATATATATACATATACATATATATATATTTGGTTTGCTGGCGTTCGTCACCGGAAGTCATTGTCCCACCCACCTCCTTCTCACTGGTGGCTGCAGGCGCGCAAGCTCAGAACATGATGCCTCTTCGTTTCCTCGGCGGCGGTTCAAGCCCAGAAACGCCACACCCGCCCTGTTCGCGGTTCCGCTTCTCAAACGGAACCTTCGGTGGATCGACGACGGGGGTGCCGGCTTCTAGCGCAGTCGACCGTTGCCGCCACAAAGAGAGAAGTCGGTTGCGGGCAATGCCCAAAAGCGCCTCACGCAAGTACACATATTCGCTGGGGGTATTGTAGACAAAGGCGCTGATGCGCACATAGAAGCGTCCCTCCACACGCTTAATAGGAACTTCCAGCTTATACACTTCGTGGAGAAGATCCTGAATATGTTTTGCCGTCAAAGGCGGACCTTGCAGCGCCTCTGGAAGCTCCACAAGAGACATAAAAGGAGCGTGCCGAGCCACCGGCCGCGTGCCAAAGTGATGTGTAAGCATGTTTGCAGCGGATTGGAGCAGATTGGCACAATGATTTCTTACACGATTGAGGCCCTGTGCACGCCAAAAATCAACCACCGCCGGAATGCAAAGATAGGCGCCGTAGTCACGAGTGCCGTCCCAGATAAATTCCGAAAGAAGACCATCACCCGCGCCATGTGAAATGACAACAGAGTGAAAAGAATCCAAAAGTGAATTGTGAACCCACATAAATCCAACAGACTTGGGACTAGAAAACCACTTGTGAAGATTACCAACGAAAATACTTGGCTGCGACTCTGGTGGTAGTTCTTTAAAGTTCAAATCCAACTGCAATGGTGCGTGCGCCCCATCCACAATAATCGTTTTCACACCATGACGCCTCAGTGCGGGAATAATATGTGTAAAGACCGGTATGCAAAGAGCGGTAGTGGACGCAATGTAATCAAAGACGGCGGTTGTGCATCCACTTGGTAACTGGCGGCATATTTCCTCCGTGAGGGACTCATCGTTGCCCATGATGGAGGCATCATGCAAATAATTAAGAAGCGAAATCTCATGAAGGCTGGCACCCACATCATTGCAGCGGAAGTACATCATCTTGTACACGGAAAGATACTCGGTGTCGAGGAACACAACAACATCATCCTTTTCAATTAGTTGCATCGCACAATTTAGCGCAAAGGTTGCATTTTGAATCAAGACAATTTGCTTGGCGTCAGCATTTATAAATTCTGCCAGCCGCCGAACACTGTACACAATAAGTGGCAAAAGCTCTCGATCCATGTACTTCACCACCTGCTGCTCCATAAGATCTTCGTAGCCGTGTTTGATCGCCACAGCGCCGCGCAGAGATCCTCCAAATGCGCCATGGTTTATGAAGACAAACTCGGGAGTGATGGTGAAATGCTCGTGACGAAAAGGAAGACCAAATTCGCACAATTGGACCGACCGGTCCCTTATTTCCATCTTTTCCTTTTCATTCCTTGCCGTCTCAACCTGACGAAGATCGCTGCGCCCCAGCACCCTTTTCGCAAAGGGCGGCAGCGGTGGGGGGCGGTATTTTCCATTTTCTCTGGCGACGAGGTCCTCGACATTTTCAGAGTGGAAGGAGCCAAACCCCTCGTAGGAAGAAATATCCATCATAAAGGCGGGGTCGTCTAACGTGTTTAAACGTTTCCGGAACTCTGGCGGAATATTAGAGATAAGCCACTTGCTTGCTTCGTCATCCGACGAGGGCTCGGGGGCAACAGTTTCCTCCTGCATGGAGGCAATACTGAAAATATAACAGGCTTCAGCTTAATAAAAAAGTACCTTGTGCGGGGAGTGGGGTGTAGGAATTTATCGATGATAGGATATGATATAATACTAGATAAATGTGTTTGTATGAAAATGCCACACAAACAACTGACCCTCCAATATTTTTTTAAGCTGCCTGTAAAGGGGGAAACAAACAAACAACAAAAAAAAAAAAAACAGTAAAAAAGATGAAACAAGCAAAGAAACACATAAAAACCACAAAGAAGTATATATTGCATACATAAATGCATACACATGATACATACAACTACGTGTATTCAATGATTTTGGAGGTCAACAAAAAACAACAACAAGAATCGGTAAGAGAGAAGGTTCTACTTCATACAAGAAAATAACAAGAGACAAGTCTATGAAAAACGGAAAATCGGTTTCGGCGTTGATTTTTTCACGGTAAGTGACTTATTCAAAGCAAGCTCTTGCGCAATTTCATGTACATGCGGTGGTGCCGGATGCACCTCTGGATGAAATGTAAGTTGACTTTCCTCCTCTCGCTGCCTCGCCTCGTATTCCGCACGAATGGCAGCCGCACGCTTCCAAGCATTTCGCTGCAAGTACTGTTGAATGATTTCATGAGTGACACCGCCACCAAAAATTGTCTCTGTGAGTCTACGTGAGCCGATGCTGACAGCTGGTTTTCCAGAGACCGCTTGACGCTCCATCGCCTCATGTTCGGCGCGCAGTTGCTCCAGACGTTGCTGTCTTCGCAGTTCAAACAGGCGTAGGTCGTTCAAACTCCGCTTCATGATTCGCGACCTGCTATTGATGTGCGGAGACGGGCGCACTGACGCGGTGGGAAAAGACACCTCTGTTTCAGGATCCCCAGAGCCGACACTCGTGTGCCGCAATTGTGTTTTGCCCCCACTCGCCTCTTCACGAGTGCGCGGTGCCACAACCGACGGAGTTTTTCTCCTACAGGTGCCAGGCGCCAATTTTGGGCGAAACGTCAGTTCGGTGTTGTGCATCACAGCAATTCGTTGAAGATTCCTTTCGCGACGCTGATTTGTTTCCTCTAGGCGTCGCAGAAATGCCTCCGTCAGCTGACGGTCTTTTCTGCTTCTCTGAACACCCCCGCACTCCCGCGGCTTCTTCTCTAATTGCTGCCGCCCCCGTCGCTGTGATGACGCGGACGCCGTCCGGCCCAGCCGTAAGTGAACCGGCGTGCGAAGATATCGGCTCAGATGGTCCGACAGGGATGAAGTGCGCAGTCGATTTGTCACGGGTCTAAACTGAGACGTCTCTGCCGCGTCATCCACCGCATTGAGCTCCCGTGATCGCCGTGACGAAGCCTCCATGTAGCGAGCCGCCACTTCTGTTGAGTTGATCTGCGGGCGAAACGTCAACTCCTCTTCCAGTTGGTTCCGGTACCACGCTTCCCGCTCCCGAGACCGCCGTGCGCTGGGATACGCCAACGGACTGCGGTTCCCTGCAGAACTTGATCGGCTACGGCAATGACGGAGGCGAGCACTTGACACGGGCTGGGATCCGTCTATTCTTATGCTCGCTCCGCTGGCGTTGCGGTGCAGCGCGTCATAATGGAAGCGGCCTCCACCTCCACCTCCACCCTTCACGCCCTCCACTGCCCCGCTGCCCTCAGATGGAGAGGAGTGATGGTGGTAATAGAATTGCGATAGGCACTCTTCCTCTAATCTACTCTGTAGCTCAGCAAAGGCCTCCTTCTCCGCGTCTGTCATCATTAAAATCTCATCGTCAAATATGGAGCTCTCATCGTCGCCTCCCTCGGGTGCGCAATAATAATCCCCGAGTACAGGGCTGCTGCCACCACCACCACCACCTCCTTCTCTTCCCCGAGTAGCGGCAGAACCGCGGCCGCTCGTGAACGAATGGGGTGAAATCCACCCGTGGCGAGCCATCACTTTTTCTCTCTTTCTCTGCCTCTCTCCCTGAGTGTGTGTCTTTCAAGAGTAATGAGTATTCAGAAGAGCATTGTTTCTTGGCATGTAATTCAACACATCTGCATGCGCCGGGAGGACGCCAAAAAAAAAAAAAAAAAAAAAAGAAAAAACACCGTCACCGCAGAAACAACCAATTCATCAGCAAAAGCTGTCTCCTAGTCGCACGTTGCCGCCTCTCATACGTTTGATTTCGACCGAGGCGGCTGCTAAAGATATCTAAGAATATAAAGAGCGCAATACCACTTGTCTCCCAATTATCAAGTAAAGCAATATACAAAATAAAGGCAATAAACGACAATAAAAAGAAAAAAAAAACAATTCATTTCTCATCATTGGAGGGGGAGGCAGTTGTCCTCTGAGTATCACAGCATTAGCGTCGACTGGATATGAGAGACATATGCCGTCCAGGGAATGAGACAGGCGGCAGCGCACACCCCACGCGCGTGCCTCGCCGATGCATAAGCAAGAAGGTACAGTGGCAAGTAGACAAACCAAGAGGCCACAAGCGTCAATGGCAGCAAATCTGACAAAATGCGCCTTTCCACAGACATGGCGTCGTAGCGGCCTCCCGTCTGTGCACTTGTCTCATGTGCGCGGAGAAAGCTCGGGGAGGTGAACCCTCCACGGCAGGCAGTGATGGCGTTGTGGTAAGCAAGCAACGTCAATGGCGTCATGAAAAATTGTTGAACCGAAAGCGTCATAAATGCTGCGAGCATTCGCCTCTCCGTATGACCCAGTGACCGAATACACAACCTGCGATACTGCACAACAAACGGAGATATCGCTAGACCAAATGCCGCCGAAAGACCCACACGGGGCTTGTCTAGCATCTCCGCCATTTGCCCTGCGGAGGGTCTTTCGCCCCTGCGCTTTTCCCCTCTTTCCAGGCGCCTTTGTGCCGCCTCGCGGTGGGCGTGGTAGAACTGCGCAAAGAAATCGCCCGCTGACCATACAGCGACTGAAATCACCGCCTCGCGAAGAAACCCCGTCGTCATGATGTTAACAAGCGTGCCTCAACAACGGCTCTGTCAACAGTACGCAAGCACCCAAAAATAAACAAAAAGAAGAAAGTGGAAAGAAAAAAAAAATGAGGCAAAAAGGCAGAGTTATAAGAGAATATTTGCGGTCTGGGATGGGGAAGTGCCGGATGCCAGTCATACACACACAAATACACATGTATTGATGTATATATATATATATATATAGTGATGGGAAAGAAGGGAAAAGTGGGAACAACAGGTAAACACAGGACACACAACAAGGACAGCAGAGCAAAGCAATATAACAGGGCTCAGCACACCCCGTGACTGGAATGAGCACGCAGATATAAACTGAAAAAAAAAAAAAAAAAGAAAAATAAAAACACACCAACGATGAGTTCCCACCTCCACTTTGAAGAAAAAAAAAGGGTACCACTGGCCCAATGTTTCTTGACTTCCGTGTTTTTTTTTTCATTTACTTTCACTCTTTCCGTGTTGATAATTTTGTTGGTTTACCTTCTTTTCATTCTAATGCTCCCTTCCCTTTGTTCACCATTTCCCCCCTTTTAGCTCGCGAGCAAATATATCGTCTTCTTCACTCCTCAATCCTCACCGACTAATGCATCTCTTTTCCCCCTCTGAGCGACTTCTCGTATTCCAGCAACATATTCATGAATCCTGGGTTTGGTTGAGCAGCGGGTCGTGCCTCTCGGATAATATCTAGGGCCTCATCTCGCGTCACGTTGTACCGTCTCATGATATACGCAGCAGCCACAGTTACGGAGCGAGAAAGACCTGCAAAACAGTGGAGGAGAATGCCTTTTTTTTCCTTCCGAGCCTTATCAATAAACACAAAGGCCTTCTCAAAGAGTAGGAGGATATTCTCACCGGGAATGTCTTCCACTGGCAGCACAAGATGTTTCATGCCTGGATCCACTCTGACATCTAGGTCCCGTGCAATGGTGAGGATGTAGTCAATATTGAGGTCACGGTAGACTGTTCTTGTCTGTGCGGTCCGGAGAGAGCCAAGATACATAAATCCCAGCACCTTGTCGGGATAAATCTTGTGCAGTTCAACTTCTAGCCATGGCAATGCGGTGCGCCAATCCTCTTCCTCCATCTGTCTCACAAAGCGGGGTCTGTTGTCCACTTTCAGAATGACACGGCTATCACCACCACCCTTTTTGTTTTTTTTGTGGCGCTGCGCAATGACCGATTGGAATAGGCGATCGCTGGGCACGGGCTCCTCTAACATCCCTTCATTCTGCCCAAGTAGGACTTTATTCAGCAATGGGCAGTGTGTAAAAAACTCCGTCGGAAATTTTTGCAAGTCGTTGAACTCTAAGCCCACATAATTCAGAGCGGGCAGGAATGTTCGCCCCTCTTGGGCCACCGCGTCAAAAGGCAGCGTGACAATATCATTGTGGTCCAACAGCAGGACCTCAAGGTTGGGCAACTCAAAAAGTGACTTGGGAACCGTCTTCAGTTGGTTGGAGTTTGCGTCAAACCTGACGAGGTGGCGGCATTTTTCTCCCAAAAACATTTCCTCGGGCAGCTCTGTGAGTTTGTTATCGGAAAGGACGAGGGTCACCAGCGAGTCAAGAGGCAAGTTCGTGGGAACTTGAAGCAGCTGCAGCTGCGAGAGATTACACTCGCCGCTATGTACACAATTTTGAAGTTCCTCGGCAAGATCACATTCCGCCTCGTCATAAGCGGGTGGAAGAATTTTCCTCGTCTTTAGAGATGGGGCAGGGGACGGTGACGATGACGAGCTGCGAAAAGAACTCACATCAGAGTCGCAATCCACACGCGTAAACTCCGGGGAACGCATGGAAAGCAAAAAGTCAAATTTGTCCATTTCCTTCCCCCGTTTTCCCGGCCTTCCGCTACGTGACGCCGTCTGTCCAATGGAGGCGGATGTAGTATTAAAGGGCCTACAAACAGAAAAACAAAACAAAACAAAAAACAAAACAAAAACGGATTATGCAGTAAAAACGGTAAAGGAACATCCGCCACCACGGCATTCCGTCCTTCCCTCATAAGGTGAACACACAGGCAGTAAAGAAAATTACCGTTTGCCTGGCAAATCAAACAGCTATATATGTGTATATGTATTTATGTATTTACACATATATATGATTCCTTCTCATGAGGCTGAATTCGTCTTAGTTGTTGAGTGGGAATTAGGAGCGAACACGGGGGGCAGCCAATCGACGACGAATGGCTTCTCCTCGCTGCGCCTTATCAGAGGCAAAGTTACACCGCAGCGTGACACCATCCAACTTGTACGCATCCAAAAGCTTAACGACTTGCTCTGCAACTTCCTTTGACTGGAGCGTCACGAACATGTGGCGGTGCTTCACCCGCGGCGGCGCTGGAAGAAAATCAACCAAATCCACAACGGCGACGCCCACACTAATCTCCTCCCTTTCCTCGTCCGCCTTATTCACGTCCTCATTTTTCCGTGCACAGTACGCGTCAAATACGGAGCTCACAAAGTCCTTCACCTCCTGTACAGTGAACCTTGCAGGCATATTGCCAAGAAAGACCGTCCTTCCACGTCGCTCCTTTCGCATACGCCAAAAGGTTCCATTTTTAAACTTTGGATCATGTCGCAACGTTTCTCCCCGCGTGGGAGACAAGGCGTCCGTCCCCGCCTCTGCAGCCTGCATCGCGGTTTCAGTTTTGGTTGCGGTGGTGTTCTCCTCCTTCCCCACTGCCGCGTTGAGCCTCGCCAGCTGCCGTTCAAATCGCTGTTTGGCCTCAAAACGCTTGCGCTCCTTGCGGCTCATCCCCGCCATCGACTCGACCGTCTCTGCAGCCGCCTCCACAACTGCGACGTTGCGGGGGCGCTTCCTTGCCGCCGTCTCTACTCCATTCTCCGTCTCTCCCGCTCCAAGCGGTAAGTGGGATTGCGCCCCATGACAGGCGAGCAACGCAGCGTCAACGGCCGCATCTTCAGCCTCGAGCCTGCGATGCTTCGACTCGCGTCGAGCCTTTTTTCGAAGAACCGCGCGACTAGGCATTGCCGCGCCCCTTACGAGCTGCAAGAAGAAAAGTCTCAACCACAACAAAAGAAGAAAATAAATATGAGAACAACAAAAAAGACTGCACAAGTTTGTGTGTGTGTGCGTCAGAGATTGAGGAAAAGGCTGACCAGTTACCACAGGAACAGAAAAAGCAAACAAATAGAGAGAGACAGGCGCAGTAAATAATAATAATAATAATAAAATAAATAATTTTCTCTCTTGAAGTCTTCCCCGATAAAATTGGCTGAAAATATGAAAATGCACACCAAAAATAAAATAAAGACATGAGTGAATGCAAATAGAAAAAAAGAAAAAAAAAAAAAAAGAGGTCTCACGCACATTAGATGGCGGTGGTTGTGGAACACGTGCGCCAAAGAGACCACTACTTACAGCTATACCCGGCATCTGCTCAATGTTGTCGCTAATTTCCTCGTTTCCTTATTTATTTATCTTCTCTTACCGCCCAATTGAAAAGGCACCAATAATAGCATAAAACATCGCCATAAAAGAAAATATGAAAGGTTCAAATGCCATAATTTTCTTTTCGTTTCGTTTTTTTTAAAAAAAAGAATGTGGTGGTGGGAATTTTGCCAGTTCTTTGGCGGTGGCAGATGTACACATTTTTATTCCGGTTTTTTCCCCCCACATTCTCGCCTGTGCCTTACGTCCTACACTCGATACAAATAAAATGGGAAAGGATATAGATAGATAGATAGATATGCATGTGTACTACTCGCGCTGAAGGAACAACATATTCCGCTCCTCCTCCGGGAGGCTCTCCAAGAGGGCATCACGCTTCTCCGACTCTATTTCCATCCGACGACGGCTTGACGCGGTGAGAATACCCTCGTGGCGTTTGTCTGAGATGAGAAGGATAATGCTGGCAATCAGAGACACGAGAGCCGCGGCAATAAAAAGCAATTCGGTCATCTGATACCCTTTCAGCGTGGGAAGACCCCCATCCTTCTGCCCATCCCTTGGAGAGGAAGAAGAAGAAGAGGAAGAATTGTCATTTTGCGCATTTGGTATGTACTCGTCAAGTAGGCTCCCCACAATGATAGGGAAAACGGCTAATCCGGTGTTCTGCAGACTTGTCATGATGCCGTAGGAGAAACCCATAACATTTTCGCCCACGACCCAAGGAATAGAAGGCCAGAGACCAGAGACCAGAACACTGTAAGCAATTCCCATAGCGATCGTCATTACAAGACCAGGAATCATAGTCACAATCAGAAGCACATGAAGAAGAAGAAAGCATCCACTTGCCGTAATTAACCAAATTGTGTTACGCCCAACATTATCCACAAGAAGTCCAATCAATGGCGAGCCTGCAGCAGAGGCAAATTGATATGCCGATATGTAGCCAGAGGCCTTGTCAGAGTTGTAACCGTATTTGACCTCAAAAAAGTTTTTGCCTACACCAATAAACGGAAATATTGCGGCGTAGCAGAAGACGCAAATGGTGCTGAGGATCCAGAAGGCAAACGGTAGCCGCAATGCATCGGAAATCTTCATGACATTTTTATTCTCCTCCTGTGGTGCCGGCCTGATGTATCCGATTCGCACGGCGTATATGTCGGCAAGAACCAAAATGAAACAGGAGGCGAACGAAATCAGACAAGAAAAAATGCCAACAAGAGCGGCCATTTCAACGCTCCACGCCTTTGCAATTTTGGGCGAAAATAAAAAGTTAAAGGACGATCCGACACGTGCAAAGCTGATTGTAATACCGAACGCCAGTGCCATGCCACGTCCATGCTTGAACCATCGGGCGACATATGCCGACTGCGCCACCGAGAGGGACTCGCCGCCCAATCCAAAGAGGACACGCGCAGTTAGCATCAGTGGATACGTGGTGTAATAAACGCCCAACCAAAAGAGAAAGGCACCAAATAACACCAAAAAGGTGAAGAGAAGCATCGCGGTGCGGATCCCAAGGTACTTGTCAATTAAAACTCCCCCAAATATAGCCAGAACCGTGTTTGGCCACGAGTACACGCTATATAGCAACTGATTCATTTCCTGCGTGTAGACCTTGCCCCGGACCTTGAAATTTTGCTCGATGGTTGCTCCGCTACCCGTGCCTATGGAGCCCGGAAAGTCAAAGATGTAGTAGCTGCCAAAAGTGAGAAAGCATGCCACGGCGAGTACCCTCCACCGCAGCTCCAGCAACTCCTCCTTAAGAACTCCACAACAGCCCCTCTCTTCAATAATATCACCGTTATCAGAGACGCGAACATCCATCATTGCTGGCGGATATTATTGTGTTGGTGCGCACTGAGCCCAGCCCAGCTTTCTATTACTACTGCAATTATGTTGTATTTGCCTCACCGCAAAAAAATGTTTTTTTTTCTTTCTTTTAAGCAGCTTTCTTTCTCTCTCGATATGTAAGTATATGTGTATATTTCACCTAGCTTTCCTTTGCTTCTTGTTGTATGCAACGCAAAGAGAAGAGACAGATAAAAGGACACGGTGGGTGGAAAGAAAGAGAGGAAGGGACAAAGGATAAAGACCACCGGCAGCACATGATGGGGAAAAAAAGAAATTCCTCCCTTCACACATGTAGTCAAGAGGGACATGCAGTAGGCATCGCGTATTGCGCACCAAACACGCATCTCAACGCTTTTATACCGAAGCCATAAAAATAGCAACAGGCCTATTCAATGTGCAAAGGAAATAAAACCAACGGGTTACGGTGGAGAAGTCTTTGCACGTCTATCGCTGGTGGCAAAAGACCGCACCGGGCAGGATTGCCATACTGCTCCGCCCTCACATCAATGGCGGCTGGAGTGTCTTGACTCTGGGCAAATTATCATGCGAATTCAGAAGCCAGCGATACCGCGGCAGTGCGACCCTTTGAGAGAGCTGACAATCATCTGCTCTCCGCCCCATCCACCCGGTCCTGAGGAACGCAAGACTCGTCCTTTAGGCGGCAAGAACGCACACTCGCCTGCACGTTTCTGTTTAATTGCATGAAACGGAACTCGTAAAGAAACACATTCGCGTGTGTTTGTGTGTCCGTCTGCCTCTAGTGGTACATGCATGTACAACGGGGAGAAATGACAAAAGAAAAAGTGGGAGAAAAAAAAAAGTCGCAAAAGGGGGATGTCATCGGCAGGGATAGAGAGAGAGACACAGAGGGAAACAACAACAACCATGCATGCATGCATGTAGCGGCTGGAGCCAAGTAAAAGTGAAGTCCATTCATCGCACGCGCAGTTTTTTTCCTCTTAACGTACCCCTTTTCTCCACAGCATGTATGAGAAACAAAACAAAACAACACACACACAAACACACACATGCATGCATGCATACAGAAAAAAACAAAACAAAACATCAACCGACAAAAGGAAAAAAAAAAAATAATGCTATTTGGTCGTCGTGCGCCATATATGCATTAGTGCTCTTATTGGGGTCTTCCGATGGGCAAAAACAAAAAAACAACAACAACTCACCCAATGCCAATGGCCACCCCAAGACGCAGGTGGTTCCAGCGTCTTACACCCGTAGACCTTCGCCCTAACGGTCCACACCCACAACACCTAAAGAAAACCCCACAAACAAAAACAACCAAAAAAAAAAAAAAAGAAAAAAGAAAAAAGAACCCGGAGCTCGCCCACAGAAAACACTTAACATTCCCAATTCATTTCTCCACCCTATTTTTTTTTTTTTCGCGCTACTTATTTCTTGCCTTCTTCCATATATATATATACACCTGCGTGTAGACATATATGCCATACATATATATTTATCCTTTTGTTCCGTTCCATTTTTACATTGTTTCAGCCTTCTCACTCCCCATTTCTTGCTCTCTTTTTTTTTTTTTTCCTTTTTTTCTCACTTCATTTAGGCATTTATTAATTTTATTTCCGCTTTTTTCTTTAAGAAACCACTACTTCTTATTTGGATGCGGTTTCTGAATCCGTCGGCATGGTCGCGGAGCCCAGAACTCCAAGGTAGCCGTCGTGTTTGAGAAAGTGGGCGTGAGATTCTCCCTTTGACCAGTACTGCAGTGTTGAGCTGATGTGGCTCCAAATAATCGGGTTGTCCCGTACAAATCCGCCCGCAAAAAATATATTCTCAACGTTCTGCACGCGGCTATGCAGGTACGCCAGTTGCGTGATGTTGGCAGAGATCATATTCAACAGTGAACGCACAATGTCGATTGCAGACGGCTTCGTTTTCCCTTTCCAAAGGGACGTAGGGGAAGAGACAGTTGGAGATGGCAGCGGCGAGATCACATCCCCGTTGTCATCACCCGAGCTGCGTCTCAACGATCCACCCGCCATCGCTTCGTAGAATCGATCTGCACCAAGTTTGCCAAAACTGCTGGCGACGGTGTCGACGGAAAGCATTGCTGGAAGGTCATGCGCATTGTAGCCGTAGATATCGCCAACCAGAAGGTCAACGTTTTTGTTGTCACCGGGGCCGTCAAGACGCATGATCTCCAGAACTTCCTCCCACGAGGTTACATCCGTCATGGTGCGCACAAGCCCCCAGAATGTTGCTCCACCAATGGGACTTCCCCCAACGCGAACATGAGAGCCATCCGGGCCGAGGCATTTGATGATTGAAATACCGGAACCAATGTTCACAAGCAAACACGGAAAGGGAGAAAGCGTGTCTCCGGGAGGGCTTTGCAGCTTGTGTGGGTAGTGAATCCCAGTTGTGGGGTCTACCGTAAAGATGGACCATGGGGCGGAGCGGATAAGAAGAGTGAGTCCTTGCACCACCGAGTCCATCTCCCGCATAACCTCAAAAGAAACGTGAAGCCTTTTTTTGGCAATCGAGGCGTATTTAAATGCACCACCGCCAGTTGCTCGTATGCTCTTGCGAAATTTCTCAGCATAAAAATTATGGGGCTTATTTTTCTCCAAATATGCAACAAAATCGGGAATGCGTTTCGATGGCACCTTTGCAAAGCGCACTGTACCAACGTTGGAGGAACGAAGGCCTTGTGGCTGCTCCTCCAACACGGGAGCATCGGCAAAGAAATGGAAGGTTCGCAAGCCAAGTCGCTCAGAGAGGGAAGATGATTCATGCACCATGTAATCAGGGATCTCAAAGAAACCGGGAGGCTGCACGTAGAGAAATTTGGCAAAACTTCCGCCAATATCAATGGCCGCGGGAACCTGAAGTGAAAATTGCCGGTCATGGGACAACGTTCCCGCACAGTCAATGTCGCTACTGTTGCCGCTACTGGTGTAGCACGGTGTCGGGCTGAAGGTGGATTCTGTGTCCGAGTAAAAGCGCTCAATGACAGATGTGAAGTACCGGGTCACACAATCGCGTCTTAGTTTTCCGTATGGCGTAAAGAAGTTTCCATGGTCCTTGAACGAGTGTGGGTGAGGGTGCACGTACTCTGGGACATTCGACGCCTGAAGGCCGTTCAGTTTCGCGATGCAAGAAAAGTCTGCAAGCAAGAGTCCAGACGCGTAACGAGAAAGCTCAGTCCAGCTGAGCGATGCGCTGCCTGCACCACCCTCCGCCTCTCCATTGTTATTGACACCCATCGAGTGCTGCTGTTGCCATTCAAATTCCACAGTGTCACGATTTGGAGACACGATGGCGATAATAGGTCGCGATGGTCGCGCGTACAGGAAAATATCGTTCACATATCGCGATTGGGCAAATATGCGCTCCAGTTCCGCTGCCACAACATATTCACCCTTAAGAGGTAAAAGTATACCACCCGGAGGTCCCATGAGACGCAGTGTCCGCTGATCGTTCCATTTGGCCGCGATCGGCAAAGTATGCTTTGCACTGTGACGCACAAGGGTCAACTGCCCAAACGTGTTCTTCGTGGAGGGCTCATCAAACGGTTCCAATTCCACCCGCACGCCGGGTGCTGGGATGCCATCAACGCAGAAAACGCCTTCGGAGGGTATAAAAAACACCTCGCGCAGGCACGGCGCGTAGCAGACTGCAATGTGTTCCTCCAGCCGATACGACGTGCTTTCCTCCGATACGCACAACACAACTTTTTCCACGCAGCCACCCAGAAGACGTTGAGTGGAGCGAAAAAAGATAAGACGCAGCACCGGCGAATCCCGACGGTGCACGTTGATAAGGACAGAGCGCAACTGGAACGCCTTCTCGAAAAGCCAGGAGTAAACGCACCCGTATCGCTCATTTTTCCGTTTTAGTTGCGTCTCACTTGTGGCAAATAAAGAGGGCACAGCCAACATGATGGTCGGACGAAAAACTGTAAATGCCCGTCTGCTGGCGCCCTCCGACGTCGCCACAGAACTTCCGTGTGCAAAGAGGCCAAGAACAAAGATGCGGTTAAACACCATCGAGAACGGTGTAAAATGCACAACGAGATGCTTCTTCCGCGATGTAGGCAAGACAGACGTGGCGACTAGAGTGCAAATATCACGAAGCACATCCGCATGAGTCATACGAACAACACTAAGAGAACTACCCAAGTTGGTGGTAGTGGTGTCTACAACCAACGAAAAGACCGTTTCGCTGGCAACATGCAGCGGTGGTGGTACAAGGCGTAATCGACCATTGTAGCAGATCCCATCGTACAAGAGAAGTGTAATACCGAAATCTCGTGCCACGGCATCATCTTCTGCATCGTAAAAAGAATGCACATTCACCACGGTCTCCAAATGCCGAGAACGACAGGTTAGAATAGAGGCCACATTGTTTCGGCCTGCAAATACAACCTTCACATTATGCTCATCAATGAGGGTTCGAAAAGCATTCCCTCTCCCTACCAGCGTTAGCGTTGTAAACCCATACATTACACAAGCAATCTCAAGAATCACAGCTTCCCTGTTCGCCTGACAGTCTACCCCAATCACATCACCCGGAACAACGCCAAGAGCACATAGTCCGGAGCCAAGTTCCCGCACCTTTGCGTCTACATCCGCGTACGTAAGCCACTCAGATTCTCCTGACTCTTTGTTCTGCCCCAAACAGCGTAACATACTGTGATGCTGTACCGTTTTTTGCCACAATTCTGCAAGACTCTTAACCCCTTGAAGGGTTTTGTACTCCCTTGGGTGATTTAATGTGACGGCCTCTTTACCCTCTACAACAGCGCTTCTCACGGTAGCAAATTGTCGCTCGTTATTTAAGGCATGAATACGTGAAACGAAGCACCACAAGAGAAACCATACGGCTCCCAGCACACAGAGTGTGAGGGAGTTGAAGTACATCGCAGCCCAAGCCGTTAGAAGCAGAGGAATAAATTGCATTTTCATGCTTAAAAGAGGATTGGAGTGCTCATGTACGATCCCACGTGACATAGACGTCTTCAGAAGAGGACGCGTTGAGTTTTTGTGGGGTATCCTTTGATCGCTAGCCGAGACGCAAAGTGTTGCTGACACACCAAAGTGGTCAGAAAGGTATACATACGGGCTTCGACTACTTGCTATAAATTTCTTGATGCATGCCATACGAACATCCACCGCAGGGGTAACAAAAAAAAAGTCTTGTCTTTGCGGCGTCAGTGATTCTCGGTTCAGTTTTGACTGCGACGGGAAAAACAACTTGGATGGGCGGGTCGAGGGGTGATATCCGTGCGTGTCGAGAATGACTTCACTCAGCCCGCCTCCCAGTGGCTGCAGCTCTTGCATAAGTTCCATGAATATCTTTGTCGGCTTGCCTCCGTTGTGAGGATCAATGCCATTGATGTTAAAGTCTCCAGCCACCACAAGTGGAATTTTACTCGCCTCGTTGTTCTCTGCGTACAGGTTGCCAATGACGGAATCAATAAAGCGACGGGTTTCCATCACCTGCGAAAACGTCGCAACGGCGCTCTCATCCTGACGAAGGTGAACATTAAAGAAGAGGATAGGTACACTTCCACCTTCCCTTAAAGGCACCATAACCTCCGCAAAAAGACAACCCCTTCGAACAGACTGGCTGCCGCGCTTATTGCAGCCAAATGTATATGAGCCACATTGCTCAATGGGAAATCGTGAGGCGATAATGAGGCCGTTATCGGAGTGTACATTGTGTCGAAAAATCGTCGGGTATGAGGGTTGCTTTGATATAACATAATGTGTAAATCCACGTTCCTTCAACTCATCCACAAGGCGTTTCTGAAAGCAGATATGTTTTTGCACAAAGTACGGCAATACACTGGCAGCATAGACCTCCTGAAACAACAAGACATCGTATTCATTGACACACTTTAGAAAATTGTCAATGCGTTCATTTTGGAACCCGCCACAGCCCCTGGGAAGAATGTTAAAGTTGTAGCTCAAAGCGCGTACCTGCGTGCTGCCTGCCTCCATGTTCGGAGTATCCTTTAAATAAACAGGGTTCACTTGAGCACCGAGAATAGAATCGGTTTTATCACCCCCCTGAGACGCATGGAAAGACATGGGAAATTGCAATTTACAAAAACAAGAAAGAAAGAAAAAAAAAAAAAGAATTTAAAAAACTTCCCCCTTCAAAAAAAAAATATATATTTTCTTCTATTTCTTTTCTATCAACCACCTAATTCCGTATTTCTCTCTCTTCCCCCCCCCTAAATGTGGGTGGTAACAACAACAACAACAACAACCAACAGAATAGAAAAAAATAAAAATAAAAAAAAAAATGGAAAAGAAATGATGAGTGGGACTGTAATGACTGGTCGCATCTAATGTCATGTATACGTACCGAATTGACTTTACATGAGAACAGGCCTCTCTTCTTTTTCTTCATTGCGGTTGTGCGCACTGTGCGCAAAGCAACAATCAGGCAGAGTACAAGAAAATGGTTACGGGGAGGATTCAAAACGATATCTATCGGTGTGGACACAAAGACGAAGCCGGAATAAGAATACACACACACACATAAAAACAAACAAACAAAATTGCATCCCCCCCCCCCTCTCTATTTCCCGTTTCATTAAAAAACTTTTCTTCTCTTTTCGTCTTCATTCTCTTTTTCGTAAAGTACATGCCCTCTAAATGGTGTCAGGCTGGTCCTCTCGCGGTGCCGAGCGCACCGGACGCATGGGGTGTGGGGCCAAACGGTCGTGTTGTTCAATATGCTGCTCCACCACTTGGAATTGATGGATGTAGTACGACACTAAGTGCATGTAGCCAAACCACGCAATGCACCCACCAATGGCAGATGATATCAGGCTCAGAACAAAGACAATATCATCGACGGGATTGCGCCATGTCGCCTTGGACAACACCATCGATAGTTGAATGATAAAGATGGGAAAAGACCACGTAAAAAACACCAACGCGATGCCAAACAAAAATCGTCTCTGGCGCTGGCTGTAGGAAAGCCCGTACTTGTATGCATACACAAATAGTGGTGCCGCACCCACCGCATAAAAAACAGCGCCAATGATGCTAAAAGAAAATTGGGCAGCACGCAACGGTTCTCTGAAGGGGTCAGGTAAAAAAACTCGTGCCCACACCAAATCTTCCGCGATGGCTACAAGACAACATATGAGGTACCAAAAGAGGCTTGTCAGGGGGACAGAAATCCCAAAGACGTACATGCTAGAGCTAAAACTCCCTCTCTTCACACACACACACACAAGAAGTCAAAAAGACAAGAAAAAGACCACAGTTCTCAATCAAACCAGTGGAAAGATACGGAGGGGTTTATTTCAACAATTCTCTATACACAGAAATAAATGTGATATTCTCAAGATATGAGCACCGTCTTTTATTGTTTTGCATTGCCATGTTGTCTTGTCCTCCCTTTTCCTTACTGCTCTTGGCTTTCACCGCTCTTCCAAACGTGACGACATTTTGGATTCGCGCAGGCAAAGTAGAGAGTCATGTCTTCATGAGGCTGACCGAGGGGATTCACAAAGCACGTCACGTCATTCTCACCGCAGCGGCGGCATCGCTTCGTGGGGTCACGTTGGGCGGTGGGGTCGTTCGCAAATTCCGCTAACAACTCCAGTTCCTCCGTTGTCCCCGTCTTTAACTTGAGGTTTAGAATATACACAAGTTTATTCTCGTCATGCACCTCAGTTGTCCTGCAGTAGTTGCATCGCCACCTCATCTGCCTATCCAAAGGGTCGTTTTCCGGATAGAGGAGGTTGTTGCACCGCTCGCAAAAGAGCATGGGCGCATCATCCAAGTGTGTCAGAGACACCTGCATGTTCTGCCCTGTTGATTTTCCTTTTTCCCCGTAGGAAGCAACAGAAAACAAACAAGCAAAATGTAAAGTGAGGGAGCAGATGCATCCGTTGTTCCATTCCCTCCGGGAATTCTGCAGAGACCCAAGAGAGAAAACCACAACGACGATAGAAGCAAAAAGTAATCAAAGGAACATCTCATTTTTTAGCGTCCTTCCAAAAGGCAATCCTAATATACGCGGGAAAGAAGCATATATATATGTATATATATATATGTGGAAAGCTAGAATCAAGAAAAAAAAAAGAGGGTGCAAATGGGGTAAAGGCCCCGTAGCAGCCGCCATCTCTCAACAAATTCACACATGTCATCCCTCTCATTATCTTTTTTTTTCTTGGCATTCTAGTCCTTGCGACCATTGATGAGACGAGTGGTCATTTTGTCCCTCGTCACAATAGCTGCCACGGCACCATAACCGGAAAGGGAGTCTCTGTCACAGGCAGACAGCATTGCCTGTGCAGCAACTTCAAACAATTCCTCGGATCCCAATCCGGGGCGCCACAGGGCCTCACACATGCCATGCAGACTCTCTGCGCAGGTGCCAGCACACACGTAGTCCTCTGGTTCGCACGGAGCGCCAATGAGATCCATGGCACATAGGTACACCTCGCCTGTCTTCTTGTCGATGCTTGCAATCACCGGCTCCACGAACCAGGGGCCAAAACGGGCCTCGTACAACATGGATGATATTAGCGCTGCAAACGCCTTACCGCCAATCTCACGTTCCTCACGTAGTTTGTATAGTTCATTACGGAAACGAACCTTCTCGGAAAACGTTTGCTGATCGGTGCGAAGCCCAGTGAGACCTAACACAATACTTTCATTAATCACGTGGAGTTTTGGCACTTCCATGGAGATCGTCTTCAACTGCTCGCCAAGGCGGTTGTCGGAGACGATGACAAAACAGCCATCGCCTGCCATTGCCAGGCAGGAGCCGCCGCTGTACGTCAGGATGGACATAAGAAAACCCTTCTTTTCAATGCACTTACAATAATAATAATAATAATAGTAATAATAATACTAATAGTAATAAAAATACCCGTGGCTGTATAACTGGTGAGCGTAACTAAAGGACACGCACACACAGAGAGTCACGGAAAGCAAGCAAAAACAACAACAACAACGAGAAATGGCAAAAAAAAAGATTAAAACTTTTTTTTTTGCTCGCAGGCAGGAAGGCTTCAAACAAGAAGAGGCAAAACAACAACAAAAGGTGTGTTCTCAACCAGAAGGCAATCCACGATGCAGGAGGCACCTCACGCAGAGTTCTCCCTGGACTCTTCGTTGCTGCGGTACTTGTCGCCGGCCTTCACTAACACAGGGTGCGTGAACCCCTCGAGCTTCCCGTCCTCAGAGTAGATGGGCACAAAATCATGACCATATTTCACCACCTCACCACGAGTTTTGCTGAGATAAATGGCGGCCGTGTAGATTGCCATGACGAACGCCCCGGGCAGATACACCCGCCACGTAGTTTTGTACGGCTGCTTCATTCTTCACACCCTTCTTGCAGTGGATCCTGTGCAAAATGCAAGGGAGGCCACACGCATGTATTCATGTGTCGAGAGAACATCAACAAAAAAAAAAAGAGAGAAAAAAAGGCGGAAATAGAAAAAAGATGAGAGAAAACAACAACAAAAACAAATGTACCCCATGACAGGCAGCAGCAAAAACGAACACCTCGCCCACCAAGATGATTGAGAGTGCATATGGACAAAAAGTCATCTGGAGCAACAAGAAGGGAATGGTGATAAACTGGGGCGCGTATTGGTCTGGACTTATGAGACGCGTGTCTCGCGCCAAAAGAAGTGTAAATAACAGTGGTAGGGTGCATGACTGGTTCAGGCAACTGCAAAATTTCTGCAAAAAGAAACAACTTAATCCCCACTGTCATTCCCTGGTCAACCCAATCCCCCGGCATACATGTCCACGCTGCCCAGGAGCAAACAGAACGGTAACCAGCAAAAATAAAGCGCAAAAACGCCATCCAAAAGTCCATAAATGATGTGTCTTCACCATCGCCAGTATCATGCGATCTTCCAGCAATCAGATGGTACCGAAAAGAAGGCATCGTGGGTCAGTAATAATTTTATTCATCCAACGCAATGAAGAAACTGCCGTTGCCATGGAATTGGCGGGAAGCACCCAAGACTTCCCCATGACGAACAAGGGGCACGCTTCCTCGCAAAGGTAGCACCCAATTAGTTTATAGGGATCTCCCCCATTTGGATACCACAATTTGTGCAAACTCCTGTTAAATGTATTGCCTGAGTCCACCTCAGCGTGGTGCCAGGGTCAATTGCCCCGTATTGTCGGGGGAAGCCAGGCGCCAGCAATGCTTTTTTCACGGGGTCGTGGTTGTTGGCGCGGGCTGACGGCATCACAACCAGCGCCCGGAGCAGCCGCGTCATTTGAATTGCCCAGGGCATCGCGCGAAAGTCCTCTTGTCCAAGAATGACTCTCTGCCTCAGAAGGGGTTCTTTTTTTTTTTTTTTTCCGCCACCACGTCCATTTGTGCTGGTTGCCGTTTATTTTTAACGGGATCGCAGGGCAACTTCATATGTGCCGGCCATCGAAGTCAAGGCTCATGCATTTATCACACCCCTCCAAATTCCAAATTTGAAGAAATTCCCATTTTCCCATTCATTGTTTGCCTCTTGTGTTGGTGTTATTGCTCATTCCTCTCAAAGTGGGGGAAAGAAAAAAAAAAAAAGAAAAACTGTTGCGTGGCAAGATGCGGTAAAAGATCCCCGTAAAAAAGATGGAAAAAGTTCCTACTCAAAGGGAACATTCACGCAAAACACATATATCATTCATTTTTTTTCTATTTGTGTGCATGTAGACATGCATGAGAAAAGGGCGAGAGTCACGCAAGCAGTCAGTCTGTGGTGATGATAACTCCTCCCTCCCTTCCTCCTTCACCCCCCACACACAAATGACAAGGACGTCGGTAAATACCAGAGAAACTCGTTTCTCTGTACTCATCGATTTTTTTTTCCATTTCTGTGCTTGTTGATTTACTCCTGCGTTTCATTCAATCGGGCCCCATGCTCCTCTCTACACACCCAATCAAACAGACACACATTATTTACTGCCCTTACTCCTGCTTGCCTTGTCCCTTGACTGTATCAAAAAGCTGCAGCAAAGGATGAATCGAAGCGTCCCGCTGCTCGTCAGACGGAATAAGTCGAGTATGATGTCGCGCTTCAAAGGCGTCATAAAACGTCGTGAAGGCATGAAGGCAGTGCACGCAGCACGTGACGAGCGATCGTCGTATGGCATTCTCCGATAACAACAACTCCTCCTCCAAGCACAACTTAAATGTACGGAATGTTTGACGCAACTTTCCATAACGCTCAGCCACCTGGCGAAAGAGCACGGGATTTTGAGCCGCCTGACTGCTCTTGGGAGCCCCTTTGGCCCCAGTGATGAGAGGCTCGTTGAGCACGACTGTCTTGGCGCACTCCAGCATTGACCGCAGGTACCAGAACTGTGTTTCCATGTTGAGTTCACTCGTCCTTATCGCGTCCACCAGTGTCTTCAGAATAGGGCCAAATATCTGACCTTGCAGTACACTTGCAACGTTCATGAACTCCGCTATGGCCCCTTTAATTTTTTCATCTTCAGTGGAAGATTCGGAAAGCAGTTGTTGTTGCTCCTCCGAGGCATCTGTGGCCCAGCTCGCGCAGCCATACATCAGCAGCTTCCCACTAGAGTTTACGCAAAATTCTACGGCGGCATCGAAGGCCTCGACATTCTCCAGCAGTGCGTCGCGAAGAACCGTCGCG